GGGCCCCCATGTTGCTCCAAGAGGTGTGGGAGCAGCTCAGTGAGCTCACTGTTCCTGAGAATAGAAGGGAAATAGCCAAGACAGACGAGGACAAGGCAGGACCCTCCAGACATCATGAGGAAGGATTTAGCAGTCATCTCCATGGACCAGAGTCTGAGGCTCAGACAGGACCACGTCTCAACAGAGGACAGCTGCCCAGGCTTGCCACAAATGCCCCGGAACAGAAACAAAAAGTGAAGTTGCTCCTGCATGGCATCTAGCTGAAGGGTGTGGAGCACACGGCCGGCTGAGGTCTCCTTAGGAAGGTGCCACATGTGTGAACTTAATGAACACCTGTAGGAGAGCAGCAGTGCCCAAACTTCAAAGCGCTTGCAAACCCCCTGTGGGTCGTGTTAAAACGCACATACTGACTCAGCAGGTCTGGAGTGGGGACTGAGGCGTGCATGTCTAACAAACTCCCAGGGGAACCTGAGAGCTGCTTGTCCAGGGCGTCTGCTCCGAGTGCTGAGGTTCTGGGCGGCGCTAAAGGAAGCCCCAGAATGCACTGGCGGAAGTGCAGCATTTGTCCACAGGCCTGAGTGCTGGCTGAAGGGTAAAGGCCGCCTTACTGGGGGCTTCCGGTGCTGTCTTTACCTGGGAATTAAAGTTAACTGAAGAAGCACAAAATCACCATTTTCAAAAGCGAGTCACATGTTCTCAAACTGGATTGTGGCGATGACCGCACATGTCTGGAAATGTACTAAAAAAAATCATGAAATTGTACGCTTACACCAGTTTTGATTTAGGGTTATGCAAATGATATCTCCATGAACCTGTTTTCTAAAACAATGAGTCACACCCAGTGGGCAAATTTGAGATGACCTGAGCATGAAGCAGAAGAAGGAAGAGGTGGGTGGGGGGAGAAGTAGCTGGTCGGAACACACTGGACACATAAATTCCCAGCTCCCACATGACCAAGAACTCAGCGCTGTCCCCGCCCCTCCAGTTCAGACTGCCTTTTGGGAAACCAAACAGGCCCAGAGGAGGAGTCACTCTCTTCTTTTACAGAAGGATGCCAGCCAGTGAAATGTAGAAGGCCTGACAGAATTGAGAAATCACCACTTTGCAACCCCCCAGGAACTCATTGGCCCTGTCGGGGAGTATCAATTTAATAAAGGGTGGGTGGTGACAAAACCACATGAGCTGTGACTCCACACCCACTGTCATCAAAATGACAGACAGCAGTGGAGAAAGCAGAGCCCTCGGATGCTGCGGGCGGGAGCGCAGAATGGTGTGGCCACTGCAAGAAAGCCTGGCGGCTCTGCACGTGACAAAACAGAGTCCACGTGACCCAGCAGCTCCACTCCTAGGTATGCACCCAGGAGAACTGAAAACCTACGTCCACACAAACACTTGGACACACATGTTCACGGCAGCATTATTCACAATGCCAGAAAGAAAGAACGCGTGGGGCGTGACCATCAAAAGATGGAAAGTAAACAAAATGTGGACTATCCACACAGAGGAATATCCTTCGGCCACAGAAGGGAGTGCAGTACCGACACACGCCACAGCGTGGATGAACCTTGACGATATGATGGTAAGCGAAGAAGCCAGACACAGCGAGACACATAGTAGGCGATCCCATGGATATGAAATGTCCAGAACAGGCAAATCCATAGTGACAGAAAGTAGATGAGTGGCTGCCAGGGGCTGGGGTGAGGAGGATGGAGACTGACCGTCTAGTGGGTACGGGGTCTCCCTCGGGAATGATGACAATGTTTTGGACCTACATAGAGGTGACGATTGTACAACTCTGTGAATATACTAACAACCGCTGAATTGTATCCTTTAAATGGTGAGTTGCATGGCATGTGAATTACACCTTGATAAAGCTACTTTTAAAAAGGCAGATGGGGGGACAAATACTAGATGATCCCACTTATTCACATATGAGGCACCTACAGTAGTCAGACTCCTAGAGACAGAAAGTAGATGGTGGGGCCAGGGGCTGGGGGGGAGGACGGGGAGTGTTCAATGGGGACGGTGTCAGTTTGGGAAGGCAAGTAAGTTCTGGAGATGGATGGCGGCGATGGCCGCCCGATCTAAGTACTTAATGCCACTGACCTATACACTGAAAAATGGTTAAAATCATAAATTTTAGGTAATGTTTGCTTTACAGTAATAATAAAAGGTAGATGGGGAACAGGATATTCACAAGGTGTGAAAGGACCAACCCCAGATTACCTGCTAGTTCAAAGGAGAAAATATAAGCTTCCGACAAAAAGGGGCAGCTGTCAGTACCTTAACCGCAGGCTCAAACTTCACACCCTGACAGTGTGGCCACCGGGCACTGGCTTCCCTGCACATATGTCTTGGGAAGTACACGAGGTCACCCAGGAAGTGGTCTGGCAAAAATGGTCAACCAGAATCAGATCCCACCTGGGGGGTCCCACATCCAGTGCACAGGGAGTCAGGGGACAGGGGAACATGTTAAAGACACCATGGAAGCCCAGCTACATTCGGGACGCAGGACCTTCCACAGGACACCGGGGCTGGCCTTCTCTAAAGAGTGGGACGAGTCACTGCTCTACGTCAAAGACACTTGAGACATCACAACCAAATGCCAGGACCAAAGGAAGAGACTCCAGTGTAGAGCAGATAGCTCTACCAGACATTTGAGACAAGTGGGGAGCTTTGAGTGCAGACCAGCTGCTAGATGCTGTGGTCGGCTGGAAAATGGCCCCTAGAGATGTCTGCATCCTAATGCCTGGGACCTGTCAATGTGTTCCCTGACACGCAGGAGTGATTTTGCAGGTTGATTAAGAATCCTAGATGGGAGGCTATCCTGGTCCAATCTAATCACAAGGATCCTTATGAGAGGGAGGCGGGAAGGTGCAAGAGAAAGGTGTGAACACAGCAAAGGGTCAGAGAGATGTTGGCTTTTCCCCAGAGACCTGGAAAGGCGACCACGAGCCAAGGAATGTGGGCACCTGTAGAAGCTGGAAAAGGCAAGGAAACGGATTGTCCCCTAGAGCCTCCAGAAGGAACCAGCCCTGCTGACACCTTGGTTTTAGCCTGTACGACCCATTTCAGGCTTCTGACCTCCAGAGCCCTAAGAGGATACATCTGTGTTATTTTAAGCCACTAAATCTGTGGTCATTTGTTTAAGCAGCCATGGGAAACGTATACAGACACTATCTGGAAATGATGGTTCATTTGTTAGGGTGTGATAATGGCACTGTATGTGGTAGGCACATGCCCTGCTCTGAGAAGAGGCAGACTGAGGGTTCAAGGGGGAAGTGTCCATGATTCCGGCGAACGGCTCTCCAGAGGAAGCAGATATGGCAAAAGTTCGCAACTATCAGATCCACTGGTTCTATGTGAATACATGCTTAAGCTTTCCTGTAATGAAAAGGTTTTTAAGCCTCAGTGTAGGAAAGATTTCACCAGATTTGGGGATTTGGGCCTGGGAAGGGGGAGGGGTGGGACACTTGGATCCTTCGGCCTGTGGAAGAAACCCGTGAGCACCAAACCCATCCACGGCACCCCTCTCCGCCGGCTGTCTCAGAAGGACCTTCCCCTCTGCAGGCCCTTCCCTGGAGCTGGCCCCTCGTCCTGCTGTGTCATTCGTTCCTCCCTTTCTGCTGGACCCGCTACCTTCGCCCATCTTTAAAACAACAGCCTCCCCGGGCTTCATGGGGCCAGGCTTCCCGGAGTTGTCGTCCACAGCTGCAGTCTCCACTCCTTCGAGTTTGCTGCTGACTCTTGGACCCCGCCAGAAGGACTCCTGTCCCCAGTGAGCCACTGAAACTGGCCTTGTCAAGGACAGTCGTGCTACTAAGTTGGGTGATCTCTCTCTACCCTCAACTGGCTTGAGCTCTCAGCCCCTTTCTCTGATGACCACACCCCCATGGCTCTCAGGGGCCCCGCCGCCCTCTGAAAGCCTCCCTCATCCTTCTCTGCTGAGGTGGAAATACAAGAGACCCTTGGGCTGGGTCCTGGACCGCCTTCTCTGTTCTACCCAAAGCCCTCTCCCTCAGGAGTTTCCTCTGAGCTCCCCTTCCAACCTTGCTGACAGCACCAAATGCGCATGTTCACCGAGTCCCACTCCCTTGAATCCCAGCCACTCAACATTCCCGCGAGTGGCTGACACCGCAAACATAGCCCCTCAAAGGACAGGTCCACCTAGAACCTGTGAATGTGATCTTATTTGGAAAAAGGGTCTTTCCAGATGTGATTAAGGATCTTGAAGTGAGATCCTGGATTAGTGTGGCCCTAAATCCAATGGAAGGTCCTTTTAAGAGAGTAAAACCAGGTCTGATACATTTTTCATTATTTAAACACAGAGGGTGACAAAAAAAGCATACTAGTTTTAAGAAAGGAAAAACTGTATTAAAATTGTAATACTCAGTATATACCGATAACAAAAGATGATAACTACAAGTCACGTTTGACTTCTGCGATTACAAGAGGCGCTCAAAGTAGTGACCATCAGTGTAATTTTAATACAGTTTTTTCCTTTCTTAAAATGTGTATACACTTTTTGGGCACCCTCTGTATAATTTCTAAACCACGTGTCAGATGAACTAGGTATGAAACATATTGCATTTTCCTGAAAGGTGGAGATAAATCGTGACGTTCTTGGAAGGTGTAAATTGGTAAACGTAGTAATCCCGATGCGCGCTCATTTAAATCTCAGCCCTTCTCCGTGGGCTGTGGTTTATACTTTGCTCAAGGAAAATAATGGACGATGAGTTTCAAAATACCTAAATGAGCAAAATTCCTTCCTGCTGTTCTTGTTGCAGTCCCTCCTGGGTGATTGAGACATTAATTAAAATGTTCATTACAGTTGCAAGGAAGGTCCAAAACTTTCCCTTCCTTTGGGGGATTAAAATAAATAGAATTTATCTCAAGCTGGCACGGGGGTGTCCCCAAGTCTGGATCGAAGTGTCAGACCCCGAGACTTGATCCGCGGTCTCGCTGCGACACCTGCTGGCTGCCTCTCCTGCCCACCTGCATCAGCCGCGCGCAGCAGCGCCACCTGGCGGGAGCCGTCGGACCGACCCTGAGAGGTCCGGGGCGGGTTTCCGGGAGGGTTTCCCATCTGAATCCGACTGAGAGCCAAAGAAATTGCTCAGGACCCCCTGGGGCCTGTCCTGTCGGTCACTGGGGCTGTGAAAGGACAGAGGAGGAGGTGTCGGTGGGGTTTGATTACCTGCTCCTCCATCCTGCGTTCTGCACTGCCTGGTGATACTCAACTCAGTGGCCTGCCCTGGCGGGGCTCTGGGTGAGCACCTCCGCAGTGCTTTGCGGATGCGTTTCAGTGTGTTCTGTGTTTAACCAGCAGGAAAAGGTGGCCTTAGAGAGTAACGGAGGTCACGGCTGCCAGGAAGTCCTCCCAGACAGGGGCTTGTCAAAAGCATGGGCTCCGGTGAGGCAGCCTCACTCTGCCGTTTTCAGGCTGTGTGACTCCGGGGAAGTTGCTGACTTCTCTGAGCCTCAGTGCACTTAATGAAAAATGGGCATGGACTAGAACACGCTCAGAGCCACTGAAGGACCAGCACCTTGGGGAGTTTCTTAGAAACCGCAGGCTCTGCCTGGAACCTACTGACCCCAGCATCTCTGGGAAGCGACACCCAGTGTTGTGCCCTCCCTGCACTGGTATGTGCTCAAGGTGGGAAAACTGGCTGCCAGGACCACCACAAAGACTCAAGAGACAATGCATGCAAACTGTCTGTCCTGGGTTACGTGCTCAACAGATGACATAATTCTCAAACTTTGGCGAACTTAGCTGGGGGGCTTTCTTTTTCTTTTCTTTTCTTTTTATTTTTTTTTTGTATATTTTAATTACAAATATAAGACATGATGTCAAACATAGGATTACCTGTGACCCAGCAATTCCCTCCTAGGTAAATACCCAAAATATTGAAAACGGGTACTAAAAACAACCCCTTAGACACCCATGTTCTTAGCAGCATTGTTCACAATAGCCAAAAGGTGGAAACAACCCACATGTCCACCAACTGATGGATGGATAAACCGTGAAATATTGTTCAGCCACAAAAAGGAATGAAGTAATGGTATCTGCTACAATGTGGATGAACCCCGAAAACATTATGCCAAGAAGCCAGGTACAAAACGCCACACATTGTATGGCTGTGTTTCTATGAAATATCCAGAACGGGCAACTCCAGAGAGAAAGCAAGTAGATTAGTGGTTATCTAGGGTTAGGGGGAACAGAGTGGGCAGAGGGACTGTCCATTTGCCCAGGGTTTCTTTTTAGGGTGATGAAATGTCCCAGAAGTAGATAGTGGTCTGGGTTGCACAGCATTGCAAATGTACTAAATGTCATTAATGGCCAATTTTATGTTATGTGTATTTTACCACAATAAAAAAAAAAAGAAGGCATGCTGGGGGTGACCATTCGGAGACGTCTGAAGCAACCTACGGCCCTAAAGTCAGCAATGCTGAGTTTCAGGGTGTTTGACAACATTCTCTTTGCTCAAATAAACGTTTATGCACATTTATTGGATTTGTCTCCATTTTAAAATTGTAATTCAATGAGCTCATACACATTTCCTGGGCAACGTGCTGTTTTTCACTTAATGACACATCACAGACACCCCTCGTGGCTGTCCTTTGGCCTGTAGATACAAATCACGTTGTTTTAACAGTTGCAAGATGTGCCCCTATCATTCCCACTGGTGGGCATTTGGAGAGTTCCCAGGCACTTGCCACCATAAACAGCTGTCGTGAATGTTCACACACACATCTCTATGTCCTGGGGTTTTGTGTCTGGGATGGATTTACAAAGTGGGGCAGCTGGGTCAAGTCAGGGGCATCTGAATACCCAGGGCGGGGCTGTCACCCTGCAAGGCTCTAGGAATCTACATGTCCCTCTGCGGTGCGAGCGAGCCCTTTCCCAGATATCCCTGTACAGTCACACGTGCACACACGCACATCACGGCACCGGATGTTATCAGTATTTACCGTTTTTCCAATTGCACATTGATGCACACCCACCAATGAGCAGATGACATCATACTGATGTGTTGATTTGATCTTGACACCTGCTGTAGCCTGCTTGTTTTGCACCTAGCTTTTGGACCCTTTGGGCAGGGGATCCACAGACCCTTTCAGGATGTGACGAGAGCTATGAACGTCCCCCCCCCCAGAAAAGGTGTGTGTGCGCAGACAAGCACATTTTGGGGGCCATTTCAGGGGTGCAGGCATTGAAGCCTGTCTGTGGCCCCCGTGGCGGAGCCCTGCCCTTGGGACTTAGATGTGGCGCAGAGCACAGTCTCTGACATTCCTGATGAACACAAACACTGGCGTGTTTCTAAATGTTAATGGGTTTCTGTGCCCTCTGCTGGATGCTTGCGTCGGCAGTGCGCACTGCAGAGGCAGAGCCTGGTGACTGGAATTTTCCTCTCGCCTCACAGTTTTTTTTTTTTTTTTTCTTCTCCTGCAGAACTGGTTCTGGAGTCTGAAGTTGAGAACGACATTCTGGAAGTTGCTGAGGAAGCCCTGTACTTAACACCCAAATCAGCAAGTTTCAGGGGAATTATTTATCTCCCACTTTGGGAATAGTTAATTCTGGGTGGAGACTCCTATTGTATCAGGTTTGCTGAAAATTTATGAGGCTTTCTGGAAACCGGGAGACTATTGATTCCCGGTGAGAAACATTTTAAGCAAATTAAGTGGTGGTAGTAGTAGTAGTAATAATAATAATAATAATAATAATAATAATAATAATAATGGCTACTATTTTTCAAGTCTCTGCCCTGTGCCAGGCATTTCATCCCTCCGGTGATGACAGGGGCAGGTTTTATTACCCAAATGTTACAGACAAAGAAACTGAGGCTCTCAGATGTGCAATTGCTTAGTCCAGTGTCACACAGACGGTGGCAAAGAAGCATTCTAAATCAGATCTGCCAGACCACGAGCCCAGGCCCTTCCTGCGGCATGGCGGGGCCACCCTGACGGGGTCCTGAGTGCACGATTCACGTTGGTGGTCTCATTTCACCAACACCATCCGGTTGGGATGGAGATGATGGGGCCCAGTGAAGCTAAGATGAAGAAGCCAAGGCCCTTGGGAGGTGACCGCTTGCCTCCAAGGTCGCACACTAGTTGGGAGTAGAGAAAGGATTAGAATCCTGGCCCACAAATATACTGAACAAGACAACGCTATTAAATGGCAAAATACCGTTGCCTGCGGAAGCCTGCTCCATTTGTGTATTTTTAAAAGGAAGATTAGTGAGGGTCGGGGAGGAGTCCTAGCACCAAATGGAGACTTTCTCCTTTTTGGAATTAACAGGAGAGCAACTTGAAAAGGGAGCAAGTTTCACCCTAGGTTTTGGTACCACTTAATGCAGTGTCAGGGGCCACCTAAAGTCCCCTGAAGTGCCACCACTGGGCTGCCCTTCCGCCTCTCTGGGAAACTCTGATTGGTGAATATCCTTTAGGTAAGGGAGCATCGAGGTCTGAGATGGAG